GGCAGGGTCCTGGAGGCAGGAACTGGTGCAGAGGCCACGGAAGAGTGCTGATCACTGACTTACTTCCCCTGGCTTGCTCAGCCCACCTTCTTCTAGAACCCAGGACCAGCAGCCCAGGGATAGCACCAGCCACCGTGGGCTGGGCTGGGCCCACCACCCCCATTGACCACTCAATGAGAAAATGCCTTACAACTGGATCTCATGGAGGAATTTCCTCAACTGAGGCTCCTTCCTCTGCTGACTCTAGCTTATGTCAGGTTGACACCCAGTAAAGGAGATGTCCATTTTGGCTTCTGCTTGGTCGTGAGTGCAGTTGTCCATGTTGTCCATTCCATTGCCCTGCCCCCAGACAAGTTGTGGGGTTTTTTTGTGTTTTGTTTTTTTTTTGTTTTGTTTTGTTTTGTTTTGTATGGCTCTGGCTGTCCTGGAACTTTGTAAACCAGATTGACCTCAAACTCAGAGATCCATCTGCCTCTGCCTCATGAGTGCTGGGGATAAAGGTGTGCGCCATTGCATCTGGTTTACCCTTCTTGAAGCTCTCTCTGTTCCTATCATTTGAGACTCGGGGTGGTCTCAAGCATGGGATCCTTTTACCTCAGTCTTCCAAAGGCTGGGATAACAGGATTGTACCACCATGCCTCGCTCATTTATCTCTCTTCTGTCTTTCTTTTTCTAGGGGTGAAACCCAGGGTAGCCTGAATGCTAGGCAGGTGCTGTCCCACTGAGCCACGCCCCTAGCCCCTCAGTGGGGGATTCTAGGCAGGGGCTCTATCGCTGAACCCTGCCTCCGCCCCTCCTACTTTTACTCACTAGTCCTGCCCTCCCACCCCTCATATTTGAGAACTCCTCAGAGAAACTTTGGAGGCCTCTAACATCTTTGCTCAGTTGCAACTGGGTCTCCATAGAGGGGTGGAAGGAACTGGGAGGTCTTGATCTCTGATCTTTCCCTTTTCTATGCCCTGCCCTCAGGAAAACACAGGAAGACTGGCAGAGACGTTGCAGTAAAAGTCATTGACAAACTGCGCTTCCCCACCAAGCAGGAGAGCCAGCTCAGGAATGAAGTGGCCATTCTCCAGGTGACTCCTTTTAAGTACATCCTGAGCCACAGTCTAGGGGTGATCAAGTTAGGCTTCCTACAAGAGAAGATGTATATGTCAGAACTGAGGGATGGTCTGAGCAGAGAGGGACCAGGACCAGCCTGTGCAGGTGACAGGGAACCCTAGAGCCATGAAAGAAGTGAGACCAGGGAGGAGGGTAGAAAGATACCAGCGGGCTTTCTAATACAGGAGCCATAGGAAGATCTCGCGGGCTGGGGATCAGCGGTAGAACACTTGGTCTAGCACGCACGAGAACCTGAAGAAGAAAATCAAATAGAAACCAAAGCAGCACAGCTTGCTGTTTTCCCAAGCTTCCTGCTATACTTTCCTCCCGCCCAGGCCCTCCCTGTGAGTTCTCATGCAAAGACCTCTCCAAGTGCTTTCCACCTCTTGCCATGCTGATCCTCAGCCCTGACCCCTCTTCCCTCATTCCCGAACAGAGTCTGCGGCACCCCGGGATTGTGAACCTCGAATGCATGTTCGAGACCCCTGAGAAGGTATTCGTGGTGATGGAGAAACTGCATGGGGACATGTTGGAGATGATCCTCTCCAGTGAGAAGGGCCGACTTCCTGAGCGCCTCACGAAGTTCCTCATCACGCAGGTGCGCTGTGCGCCTTGGCCTTGGGAGCCCCCTGGTGGAGGCCTGGAGAACAGGCTGGTGCACTGGGAAGTCAAGAGGGCAGAGTTAGAGAAATAGATGGAAATCTTATTAACAACAATAAGAGGAAGGGCTGGAGAGATGGCTCAGGGGTTAAGAGCATTGCCTGCTCTTCCAAAGGTCTTGAGTTCAATTCCCAGCAACCACATGGTGGCTTACAACCATCTGTAATGAGGTCTGGTGCCCTCTTCTGGTCTTCAGGCAGAATATTGTATACATAATAAGTAAGTAAGTAAGTAAATAAATAAATAAATAAATAAAACAATAAGAGATGGAGGGGCAGAAGCTGGGTATGATAGCACACACCTTTAATCCTAGCACTTGGGAGACAGAGGCAGGCAGGTATCTGTGAGTTCAAGACCAGCCCTGGTCTACATAGTGAGTTCTAGGACAGCCAGAGTTGCACTGTGAGACCCTATCTCAAAAAAAAAAAAAAAAGTAAAAAGAAAAGGACAGTCAGGGCCCAGTCAGCACGTTATTGATGATAACTAGCCTCCCTGTGAAGCCCTGCCCGCTGGTGACAACACCCACCATCCAAGGCCAAGGGCTGTCTTGTTACCACTATGTGTCTAGTACCCCAACCTGAGTCAGGCATGGAGCAGAATCTGGGGGAGTGTCGGTTAAAAAGCCTACTGGAAGGACTGAAAGATTGAGAGAAAGAGGAGGGAAGCCAGTTTCCCCCTTTTATAATATCATTGGCACTATTTTAGTGAGCTTCCAGAGTGCTAAGATTAAAGTTCTGTACTACCTCTCCTGGCTTTTTTTTTTTTTTTTTTTGAGAAAGGATCTCATGTAGCTTGGGCTAGCCTGGCACTTACTATGTAGATGAGGATGATCTCAAATTTTGGATTTTCCTGCCTCTGTTCCCTGAGTGCCGGGATTATAGCCTTGTGGCACAGAGTGCTACAGGAGGCAGGGAGATCAGGGGTTCATGGCCATCCTTGTCTGTGTAGTGTTTTCAAGGCCAGCCTGAGCTACCTGAGATCCTGTCTCAAAAAGTAAAAAACAATGTTTATTGTCTAAAACCTTTTCCATCTTTTTTCACCAACTAAGTGGGAGGATGCATGCTTTCACACTTCTTACTAATGCTGGATAAAAATAATTGCCAGGCTCGGAAGATTTCGTGTTAGCTTTCGGCTTCTGAGACAGAATCTCTGCTCCCTCTGTGCTCGCCTCACATGCTTCTCCTGCATCGTCCTCACTGCTGCTGGGCTCACACGTGTGTGCCACACTTTCCTTATTATTTTCGTATGTTTTACATCAAATTAGTATTTAAAAAAAAGTTTTTTCATTTTAAGGCCAAATCTTACTGTGTAGATCAGGCTGCCCTGGAACTCATAGAGATCCATCTTCCTCAGCCTCCCAAGTTCTGGGATTAAAGACATATGCTACCATGACAGACTTACCATTTTCTTTTTCTTTCTTTCTTTTTTTTTTTAAAGACTTATTTATTTATTTTTACAGTGTTCTGTCTGCATGTGTGCCAGCAGGCCTAAAGAGGGCACCAGATTTCATTACAGATGGTTGTGAGCCACCATGTGGTTACTGGGAATTGAACTCAGGGCCTCTCTGAGCCATCTCTCCAGCCCCCAGACTTACTATTTTCTGTGTGTGAATGTTTAATTAATATATATATATATATGTATGTATGTATGTATGTATGTATGTATTTGCACCGTGTGGTATGTGCAGTACCTGAGGAGGCCAGAAGAGGGCATCAGATCCCCCCCAACTTGAGTTAAGAGCCACCATGTGTATGCTGGGAATTTAATCCTGTTTCTCTGGAAGAGCAGATAGTGGTCCTAGCAACTAAACTGTCTCACCAGCCCTTTTGTTTGTTTGTTTGTTTGTTTGTTTTTGCTTTTGGAGACCAGGCCTTAATGTGTATCCTTGGCTGATCTGGAATTCTCTGTTTAGACAAGGCTGGCTTCCCACTTGCAGCAATGCCTATGCCTTCAAACAACTGGGCTTATAGGCATGGGTCACGAAGTATGCTTATTGCATTATTAGTGCTCTTTGCATATGACAGATGTGAGATCATTGTCCTTTATGCTGCTCAATATTTTATTACATTTACTGTGTAAGTTTGCATATGTTTGTGGGCATGCATGTGCTACAGCTTGAGAGCCATAGTGCACATATGGAGAGCAAAGGACAACTTGTAGGAACTGACTCTCTCCTTCCACCAAGGGGATCCCAGGGACTGTACGCAGGTTGTCAGGCTTGGTGGCCAGTGCCTTTGCCCACTAAGCCATCTCTCAAGGTTTATTCAATCCTTTTTATTCCAATATTTACTTACAACTTTTCTCTCTCTCTCTCTCTCTCTCTCTCTCTTTCTCTCTCTTCCTTCCTTTTCTTTTCTTTTTTTGTTTTATTTTGTTTCCGAGACAAGGTTTCTCTGTGTAGTAGCCCTGACTGTCCTGGAACTCCCTCTGTAGACCAGGCTGGCCTCAAACTCACAAAAGATTGACCTGCCCTGCCTCTTGAGTGCTGGGATTAAAGGTGTGTGTAGTAGTATCAAGAGTTCCATAACAGTCTGGAATGGAGTGTAACAAAGGCTTATTTATGTGGGGATAAACTCACAGTAAGATAGTGATCCACAGTCCTCTGCGAGTGCTGGGAACTGGAATCAAATTGGGGGGGGGGCTTTTCATTTGCACTTATACTACATGAGACCACGCCCAAAGTGGGCCGGTATCTTAAAGGCTATTGGCTGAAGGAGCTCCCACAACAGGCCTGTGCCACAACCCAGCTCTTTCTTTCTTTTCTTTTAATTTATTTTATGTGTGTTGGTGTAAAGGTGTCAGATTCTCTGGAACTGGAGTTACAGACAATTGTGAACTGCCACGTGGGTGCTGGGAATTGAACTCAGGTCCTCTAGAAAAACAACCAGTGCTGTTAACCACTGAGCCATCTTTCCAGCCCTTTTTTATTGTTATTATTGTTTGAGACATGGTCTCCTATATCCTTGGCTGACCTTGAACTTGCTGTGTAGTCAAAGAAGACCTTGAATTCCTGAGGAAGTTTCCAGGCATGAACCATCACATCCACCTATGCAATACTGGGGGTGGAACCAGGGCTTTGTGCGTGCTAGCCTGGCCATCCGTCCACCCGTGGCCTTCATTCACCGTGGAGTTTTAACCTTTGCGGTGTTGGACATTCCCTGGTGTGCTCAGAGTTTCAGTTCTCCCTGGAGAGGCCTCCCCTCTGTCTGGGACTTCCTTCACTCTGGGACAGATCTTCTGTTGGTATTAGGCATCCTGCAGTGTAGTTTGCTGCTGCTCCGGCTCCACGCCCCTGTCAGTATACCTGGATTCGCTAGGCATGCTGGGAGATGGAGACAGAGACACATCCTGACTGTGGAAGAGGGAGTTGAATGCGGTCAGCAACCAAAGTAGTTTCTCTACAGTCTTCCGTTTTGTCCTGTGTTCTCTCTCTCTCTCCCCCCACCCTTCCCCCTGTCCCTCTCCCCCCTCTCCCTCCCCTCCCCCTCCCCCTTCCCTCCTCCCCTCTCCTCTCCTTTCCTCCTCTCCTCTCCTCTCTCCTCCCACTCTGCAGATTTCTGTCTTCAGGGCTCTTACCTGATCCACCTCTAAGAGCTGGACCCTGTTCTTTGCCTCAGGGACTTACTTAGGCGCCACCACTCACCCTTCCAGGTAGGTATTATTAGGTGTGGTGCACAGGCTTGTAACCCTGGAATCCGAGAGGTACAAGGATCAATCACTTAAAGGCTAGCTTTGCTTACATAGTGACTTTGGGGCTAGCCTGGGATACATAAGACCCTTTCTTAAAAATAAAACAAGAGGCCATGCAGTGGTGGAGCACGCCTTTAATCCTAGCACTTAGGAAGCAGAAGCAGGTGCATCTCTGTGAGTTTGAAGCCTGCCTGGTCTTCAGAGAGAGTTCCTATACAGTCAAGACTGTTACACAGAGAAACCATGTCTCTAAAGACAAAACAAAGCAAAACAAAAATCTAAAAATTCAATCGTGTGTGAGGTGGGGGAAGGGCACATGCCACAGCACACACATGGAGATGAGAGGACAACATGCAGAAGTTGCTTCTCTCCTCCCACTTGGGTTCTAGGGGTTGGATTTAGGTCACCTGCCTTGGTGGCAGTCTCCTTTACCTGCTGAGCCACCATCTTGCCAACCAAAACAAGGTTTTCTGTTTGTTGTTTTGTTTTCTTTTTAAACAAAGTCTTATAGTGTAGCCCTGACTGTTGGGGAACTCCTTCCATAGACCAGGCTGGCCTTGAACTCACAGAGATCCACCTGCCTCTGCCTCCCAAGTACTGGGATTAAAGGCATGCACCACGACATCAAGCGTCAAAATATTTTTTAATTGCACCACATAAAGGAAGTGTCTTGGGAGCTCCTGCTGTTTTAACAGCTCGTGAGGATTCTAAGCTGGGTCTCCCCACCCTCCCCACTGTAGCCCAGCCTTTCTAGAGTTCGATATCAGGCTCTTAACTCTGGGGGGTAAATGGTTCTACCATTTCTGGATTCCTTACTTAATGACTCCCTCACCCAGGTAGCATCCTCAGTGGGGCAGGGGAAGACTGGGTGGGGCTCATGGATGGACTTCAGGATTGGTTCTATCTTTCCTTTCTCACTGGCCCTGCCTCCTCTCCTCAGATCCTGGTGGCCTTGAGACACCTGCACTTCAAGAACATCGTCCACTGTGATTTGAAGCCAGAGAACGTGTTGCTGGCATCTGCCGATCCGTTTCCTCAGGTCCGTTATGTCCCCTCCTAGCCCTGACAGCCAGGGGTGAGCAGTGACTCAAAGTCTAGTTGCAGGTGAGCTTCAGACCCTAGGTGACATGGCTTAAGACAGGAGCTTGATCTCACCTGGATTGCATCTGGCCTAGGTATTCTCAATCTGCAAAGGTACTTCATAACATTGGGCACCCTTTTCTTGGCTGTTATGTTTAGGACAGTTTGGTAGTACTGCTGGCCTTCACAGCCCATGGTCTAGCTAGAACAAAGGAAGAAAGACAGGAGGTACAAGAAATGTATTATCACTTTCCTTCACTGATGTAGTAGGGAAAGTGGCCCACCTCACTTCCCTCCTTCCCTCGTACCCCATTTGCCTCTCACCTTCTAGGGATGGAACCTAGGCCTGTGCTCTACCACTGAGCCCACATTCAGCCCCTCACTGGGGGATTCTAGGCAGGGGCTCTACCACTGAGCCACACCTCCAGCCCTTTACTGGGGGATTCTAGGTAGGGGCTCTACCACTGAGCCCACATTCAGCCCCTCACTGAGGGATTCGAGGCAGGGGCTCTGCCACTGAGCCACACCTCCAGCCCCTTACTGGGGGATTCTAGGCAGGGGCTCTACCACTGAGCCACATCCCAGCCCCTCATTGAGGGATTCGAGGCAGGGGCTCTACTACTGAGCCACACCTCCAGCCCCTTACTCGGGGATTCTAGGCAGGGGCTCTACCACTGAGCCACACCTCCAGCCCCTTACTGGGGGAGTCTAGACGGGTACTTTATTATCAAACTACCCTCCAAACTCCTTATTGGGGGGTTTTAGACAAGTCCTTTTTAATCATTAAGAGAATCCAATCCCTTTTAATTTTTATTTGAGATAAGGTCTCAGTATTTTCCTTGAAACCCCCTCTCATGCTCAGGATTTCTTTTTCTTTTTTTTGCAGAGTAGGCTGGCCTCAAACTCACAGAGATCCACCTGCCTCTGCCTCCCTGAGTGCTGGGATTAAAGGCGTGTGCCACCACTGCCCGGCTCCAGCTCTTTTTCTTAATTTATGTTTGTTTTGCGTTAAAAAGTAAATTGAGTTGTTCAGGCTAACTTTGAACTCAGTCTGTAGTCCAGGCTAGTCTTCAACTTATTTGTTTTTGTTTTTTGACTTTGTGATCCTTCTAGCTCTGCCTGTAGGTAGCTGAGATTATGTGCCTACACCTGCAGATCCTGCATGCCTGCTCCTCTCTAATCCCCAGAAAACCCTAGAAGTGAGCCCATTCCCAGTGTGGAGAGACCAGAGCCCTTATTAGAAATCATGTGTTCAGGGCTGGAGAGATGGCTCAGAGGTTAAGAGCACTGGCTGCTCTTCCAGAGGTCCTGAGTTCAAGTCCCAGCACCCACATGGTGGCTCACAGCCATCATTAATGAAATCTGGTGCCCTCTTCTGGCCTGCAGGCACACAAGGAAGGAATGTTGTATAAATAAATTAAAAAAAAAATAACATGTTCATTCCAGCTGGACAAAGCTTCTAGAACATTGCCTGTGCCACTTTCAGTCCATACACTTGTCCAGTAGGAAAGACGATTTTAGAGAGCACTTAATAGAGATTTCTTCATACAGGTCAATGAGCTGCATGTGGATTGACTCATGTCACCCTCACAATAGTCCTTTGAGACAGGCGCTGTTATGTTCTTCCTTGTGTTAGAGATGTGGAAACTGAGGCACAGAGAGGGGACTTCACTTACCTGAGATCAGTTAGCTAGTGAGATTTGGAATACTGAGGACTGAGGTGGCAGTGGTCTGGACATACAATGGGGGAGGTGACACCATCGTTGCTCACAACCTTCACCTGTCACCTTCGCAGGTGAAGCTGTGTGACTTCGGCTTTGCTCGCATCATTGGTGAGAAGTCCTTCCGGCGCTCCGTGGTGGGCACACCCGCCTATCTGGCACCAGAGGTGCTGCTCAACCAGGGTTACAACCGCTCTCTCGACATGTGGTCTGTGGGTGTGATCATGTACGTCAGCCTCAGTGGCACGTTCCCCTTCAATGAGGATGAGGACATCAATGACCAGATCCAGAACGCAGCCTTCATGTACCCAGCCAGCCCCTGGAGCCGCATCTCATCTGGAGGTGAGCCTCGGTAGACAGATTGGGAAACAAGAAGGTGGGGATGGAGCCAGGCCTCAGATTTCATGGGCTGTAAGTGTGAGTGCGTGAGTGGGTGAGACTGTAAGAGAGTTGGGGCAAGGCTGGGCCTGGGTGGGTGCCAAAATGTGGGTGGATGTGGCATGAATTGTAATTGGTCTTAATAAATAAAACTTAGAATCAGATATTAGAGGGTGAAAGTTGAAGGACCAGAGAAGCAGTGCAGTCAGCCCCTAGAGAGACCTTTCACCTCTATCAGTGCTCAGACCAAAGAGGTGACCCTGTCTTCAGTCAACTGCTGTGAGCTCTTGTCTCCTCCTGCCTTCTAGACACACCACTCCTGTCTCCACCTCCCTAGTGTTGGGGTTAAAGGCGTGGTATTCCAAGTACTGGGATCACCTTTGTGTGAACTCTGTTTCTCTTTTAGACAGATTCAATCTTATGTAGCCCAGGATGGCCTTGAACTAACAGAGATCTCTCTGCCTCTGTTTCCCAAATCCTGGGATTAAAGGTGTGTGCCACCAGTCCCTGGCCTCTAGTGGCTTGGCTCTACACTCTAATCTTCAGGCAAGTTTTATTTGTTAAAACACAAAACAAAATATCGCCACAGGTGGGACTGTAAGAGAGGGGTGGTCAGAGAGGCAGGGCTGGGTGAGTGGGTAGAGCTGAGAGTGAGACCTGGAGGGGCAGGTGACTTGTGGGTAGACCCTGGTGTCCAAGGGGTGTCATGGCGGCTTGAGACTCTGAGACAAGTACAGAAACAAGTACTGAGGAGACAGTACTTTTTCTTCTCTCTCTCTCTCTCTCTCTCTCTCTCTCTCTCTCTCTCTCTCTCTGTGTGTGTGTGTGTGTGTGTGTGTGTGTGTGTCTTGTTGTTACCTTGTTTTATGTGTATGGCTAGATTGCTTGCATGTATGTATGTACGTCATATGCATCATGCCTGGTGCTCCTGAAGGCCAGATATGGGTATCAGATCCCCAGAACTAGAGTTACAGGTAGTTGTGAGCCTCCATGTGGGTGCTGGAAACCTAACCCAGATCCTCTAGAAGAGCAACCAGTGCTCTTAACCACTGAGCCATCCCTCCAGCCCCATCAGATGTACTGTTTTTCTTTTGCAACAGTAGGAATTGGACCCAGAGCCTCCAGCATGGTAGATAGTGCTCTATGACTGAGCCGATCCCCAACCCCTCTCCAGACAGTGGCTGGAGCCAGACTCTATGAATGGAGCAGAGAGGAGCCTGAAGCTTGGAAATGTGTCCAGTGACAAGGCAACCCAATCTAGGGGTGTGGCTATTGGATTGTCCAGCAAAGACAAGTTCATCACCTGGCCACTGGGCCTGGGAGATAAACCCTGAGGCATGGGGTTTGGGGTGAGGTGTGGGGTAGGACATTTGAGAGGATGAGAGTCATGGGTGGGCTTGTTTGGTTTGGTTTGGCTGGCTTTGGACTGTGTAGCTGAAGTGGACTTTGTACTCCCGATCCTCTTGCCTTCACTTCCCAAATGCTGGGATTACAGACTGATGCTAGAAGAACCTGGTAAGGCTTTATTTGCATTGTTCCTGAACAACACAATATGACAATTATTTATATAACAATCCATTGTATTAGTAAAAGAAATCTATGTGAATGTATAGGGCAGTGATAGAGTTCCTACCTATAATCCTCCAGTGAGGGGCTGGGGTGTGGCTCAGTGGTAGAGACCCTGCCTAGAATCCTCCAGTGAGGGGCTGGGGTGTGGCTCAGTGGTAGAGCCCCTGCCTAGAATTCCCCAGTAAGAGGCTGGCAGGGTGGGGGGCGGGGCATGGCTTGGCATTGGAGCACACATCTAGAAACCATCCTGAAAGGTTGGGGTGTGGCCAGGTCAGTGGAAGTTCTCTTGCCCTGTACCTGTGAAGTGCTAGGTTCCCTCCATAGCAATGTAACAAGAATACTATTATAAGTTATCTAGAAATGGTTCAGAGCAAGCAGAGGGAATATGCGGACGCTGTAAGCAAATACTCTGCTGTTTTATATAAAGGACTGAGCATCTATGGAGTTTGGTATCCATGGAATCCTTGAGGATATTGCCCCTAGGCAAGTGAACCTTGTTCTTCAAGATGCACTGCCAATGACAAAGCCTCAGTGGGACCTTGGCTTGAGACCTGATACTCATTACAGTCTTTTTCCAAGGACCTGGCTTCTATCACTGGGTCTTCTGCAGGCAACAGGGACTTCGTGGCTAGTGGCCATTTTCCTTTTGTCAATATGGCACATTATTGTTAGCTCCCTGCTGATCTCAGTGATGTCAGTATTCCATTGGAAATAAATATGCTTTCACCTCAAAAAGCACACTTTTAAAAAGTGGAACTAGCAGCTGAAGAGACAGCTCAGTGGTTAAGGGTACTGGCTGCTCTTCAAGAGGTCCTGAGTTCAGTTCCCAGCAACCAGATTGTGGCTCACAACTGTAATGCTATCTGATGGTCTCTTCTGGCATGTAGGCATACATGCAGACAGAACACATATATTTATAAATAAATATTTAAAAAAAGATTTATTTAAAAAAATTAAGGAGGGCTAGAGAGATGGCTCAGAGGTTAAGAGCACTGGCTGCTCTTCCAGAGGTCCTGAGTTCAGTTCCTAGCAACCATATGGTGGCTCACAACCATCTATGATAGCTGGTGCCCTCTTCTGGCAGGCAGGCACACGTGCAGACAGAACATTGTATACATAATAAATAAATAATTTTAAAAAAATAAAAATAAAAAAATTAAGGAAAAAAATGGACTTAGAAGGGCTGGACAGATGAATCAGCAGTTAAGACCCGGAGTTGGGGTCCCAGCACCCATGTTAAGTGGCTGACAAACTGCCTGTAACTCCAGCTCCAGGGGATTCCAATTCTCTCTTCTGGCCTAAGGGGACACCTTTATCCATATACACAGACACATAAATACATACATATATATATATATATATATATAAATTTTGTTTGGTTTTTGATATAAATAAAAGTTTTGTTTCATATGGTTTGTTTCTTGATACAGTGTATCACTATGTATCCCAGGGTGTCTGTCTTTGAACTCACCTGCCTCCCCCTCTGCCTCCCTAGTGCTGGGATTAAAGGTGTGGACCACGACAATCAGTCCAAAAATAATTTTAAAAATTTGAGCTGGTGGGGCTGGAGAGATGGCTCAGAGGTTAAGAGCATTGCCTGCTCTTCCAAAGGTCCTGAGTTCAATTCCCAGCAACCACATGGTGGCTCACAACCATCTGTAATGGGGTCTGGTGCCCTCTTCTGGCTCGCATACACATAGACAGAATATTGTATACATAATAAAATAAAAAAATAAATATTAAAAAAAAATTTGAGCTGACCATGCTGGCATATACTGACAATTTCAGCAGTTGCCAGGTGTAGCCCAGGCTGGCCTCGAACTCCATATCTTCTAGCTTCCACCTCCCAAGTGCTGGAATTGCCGGTGCTGGCCACCATGAGTGACAAGATTTGGAATTTAATGAGAAAAGCAGGGATAAGTGTTTGGTCACCTGGGCCAGTGCTGGAGATACGCCTTTGAGGCAGGCAGGGTGGAGTGCCCTACTGGAACGGGCCACCTATCACTCCAGTGGAGCTTCATCTGTCTTTTTCCCCCACAGCCATCGACCTCATCAATAACCTGTTGCAGGTGAAAATGCGCAAGCGCTTCAGCGTGGACAAGTCTCTCAGCCACCCCTGGTTACAGGTGACGTATGGAGGTGGGGCTCAAGAAAGCAGCAGAACTAGGTCTTTAATTGGCTGATTGACTAGCCTATTGCTGGGCTGTGGTTGGAGAGGGGTTTACACTGCTATTGGTCGAGCAGGTTGTGGGGTGTGGTACTTTACCATCATTGGTCCCAGCGGAGTCCAGACTGTTGCTAAGACTGCAGTACTCTGTTCAGCGTGAGGTGCCCAAGCTAACCGGGTTTTTCACTGCCCAGGAGTACCAAACATGGCTTGACCTCCGAGAGCTGGAGAGAAAGATGGGCGAGCGATATATTACACACGAGAGTGACGACGCGCGCTGGGATCAGTTTGTGACAGAGCGGCATGGGACATCTGCAGAAGCGGACCTGAGTGGCGCCCGCCTGCCGCAGGACCACGAGATGCAGGGGCTGGCTGAGCGGATCAGCATCCTCTGAGGCCAGCGGTTCACTCTGGGCTACTTTCTGCGGAATCCTGCACTCCATCCCTGAAGCAAACTGTTCTAGGGGCAATGGCTTCCTGCACAGACTGCATGAGGCGCTATGCAGGGCGACGGGAATGGGGCATCAGTCACCGGAGCTGTCTTTCAGTCATTGAAATAGACTCTTCTGGGGGCCATGGTCTCAGTCTCTGATGCCACTGCCCTAGAGTCGTTAGACTGTTGCCCACAAGAAGGACTGTATGAAAAGGAGGCTCCAAGGCTGGAGGATGGCTCGGTGGCTAAAGGCACTTGCCACCAAGCCTGACAACTTGAGTTTGATTCCTGGGACACACCTATTTGAAGAAGAGCATCAACTCCCGCCTGTTGTTCTCCGACCACCACAAGTGCCCACACAAACACATACAATAAATAAATGTACTTTTTAAACAGTGAGGCTCCCACTGGCCATGGTGATGCGAGTCTATGAACCCAGCCCTTAAAGAGACTGAGGAAGGAGGATTGCTTTGAGTTCAAAGCCAGCCAGGGATACAGAGTACAACTTGATCTCAAAAAAGACAGTCTTTTTATGTGGTGGTTCCAGTGTTTGGGAGGTGGAGTCAGAAGGATAAGTGTTCAAGGTCATACTTAGGTACCTGGTGAGGTTTAGGCTACTGTGGGCTGTTAAGATCCTGTCTCAAGGGCTGGAGAGATGGCTCAGTAGTTAAGAGCACTGGCTGCCCTTCCAGAGGACCAGGGTTCAATTCCCAGCACCGACATGGCAACTCACACCAGTCTGCAACTCAGTTCCAGGGGATCTGACATCCTCACACCATAATGCACATAAAATTGAAAAAGATCCTGTCTCAAAAACAAAGTGGGTGCTACAGACAGTAGGAAGACGGGCAGAAGGGGAAGCGTTTGGGGAGGGTGACTCCCTAGAGTAATACAAGAGAAGGACACATCACCTGTGCCAGGAAGGGAGAAAGTGTATAGCCCCGAGAAGGAAGAGTTCACCAACAAGCAGCCAGGCATGGTCCTGCACACCTTTAATCCCAGGATAGATCTCTGAGTGCAAGACCAGCCTGGGCTACAATGAGACCCTGCCTCAAGAAGAGGAGGAAGAGGAAGCACCATGATAGGTGAGTGGGTACAGTTCTCAGGATTATTATTTTTTTTTAAGTTTTATTATGAGCTGGGCGGTGGTGGCGCATGCCTTTAATCCCAGCACTCGGGAGGCAGGGGTGGGTGGATCTCTGTGAGTTCGAGGCCAGCCTGGTCTACAAGAGCTAGTTCCAGGACAGGCTCCAAAGCTACAGAGAGACCTTATCTCGGGGAAGAAAAAAAAAAGGTTTATTATGTATAGTGTTCTACACTTGATCTTAGCCAAAAGGCCGAGAAGCGATTATGTATAGTGTTCTATCTATAGGCCAGAAGAGGGTACCTGACTGCATTACAGGTAGTTGTGAGTCATTCTGTGGTTGCTGGGAATTGAACTCAGGACTTCAGGCAGTGCTCTTAACCACTGAGCCATCTCTCCAGCCCCAAGACACCTATCTTAAGTCATAAGTGCATTTAAGGGGCAGCCATTGGAACCCTTACCTAAATCCCACCAGTGAGAGGCTGGGGGCCTGCCTTAGCTGTAGGACATTTGTCGAGTATGTGCCAAGGCTGGTGTCCCACCACCTAGCACCTAGGAAAGCGAAGCAAAGCAGGTGCTATACACCAGCAGTCATAACACTGTAGGTGGAGAAGCAGGAGGATTAGACATTGAGATTGGCGGGCAGATGAGATGGCTCTGGGAGTAAATGTGTTTGCATTTACTCAGTCAGACCTGAGTTCAAGCATCCAGCCTAAAGGTGAGGTGAGAACAGACTCTGGGAAGTTGTCCTCTGACAACTACAGTAGTGCATGCCAGCCACCCCCACCTCCCACTCACACACAACACACACACACACACACACACACACACACACACAATGGCAAAAATAAAAATTAAGTTCAGTATCATCTTTGGTTACATACTTATTTTTTATTATATTTTAATTTGAGATTCTGGTCTTTCAGTACAATACAGAAAAGTGAGATGGCTCAAAGGTAAAGGTGCCAGTCACCAAGCCTGATGACCTAGGTTCTATCCCAGGAACTGCGCTACAAGGAGAAGACTGCTCCCAACGCAGTCTGACCTCCACACGTGCCTGTGGCCCCGTTCGTTGCCTCAGAGCCATCTCTCCAACCCCTGTAGGCAGGATGTCTTTGAGTACAGAGCTCCCTGTTAGGCTAGTCTATCTCTCCAGCTTGCTCTGGCTCCTCTGTCTTTGCTTTCCAAGGTGCTGGAGACATGGAAGCTGCTGTGTGCATCTATCATTTCCACGGGTTCTGGGGATCCAAACACCCAGCCCGATGCTATGCAGCAAGCTCTTTAGCCACGACATAACCCTCCAGGCAATGTAAAAAACTTCCCTCCTTCCTTCCCTTCCATTTGTGGTTTTGGAAGTGGAGTCTAAGCCTTTACAAATACCAGGCAAGCATTACACCACCAAGTGCCAGTGAGTGTAGTCATGTGTGCATGTGTGTGGAGTGTGCATGTGTGGAGTGTGCATATGTGAAGTGGGCATGTGTGTGTGTTCCTCTTTCACCCTCTGCCTTATTATATTTTAATTTGGGCTGGGGGTATATTGCAGCAAGCCTGCAAAGATCAGTTCTCTCCTTCCACCATGTGGGTACCAGGAATAGAGCTCAGGCTTGGCAGCGAGTCCTTCTACCCATTAAGGGCCATCTTACCAACAACTTTGTCTCTCGAGACAGAATCTCTTGCTGAACCCCAAGGTCACTAATTGACTAGACTGGCTTTAGTAATCCTCCTTTGTCCATACCCTGGCACTAGAAAGTCAAGTGTGGAACCATTTCATCTGGCCTTTGCATGGGCCCTGGGAATGTGAACGTGGGTCTGCATGCTTTCATGTTTCCCACTGAACTGTCTTCCCAGCCTTAATATTTTCTATTGCAATGACTTCTTGACACACTATAGGCAATCCTTCACTCTTGTCTGTTTTTGTCACCATGCAGAGTAAGGCAGGGTACACGGTAGTGATCATAACACCTCAGGCCCTGCAACCATGGCATGGAGACAGTCATGGAGACTGGTCAGTCCTGGGGATAGTGCTGATCCCGAGTGGACAGGGAAGGGGCCAGCCAGGCAGGGTTGGGGAACACAGAAATAGGGCAACCTGAAGCAGTCTGAGAGCATGGGCAGGCTTGTCTAGGGGAACCCTCAAATTTCACCCTGAGGCTGTAGGGAAAGGAAATGACCTGAAGGATCATCCACTTTTTTTTTTTTTTTTTTTTTTTTTTTTTTTTTTTTTTTTT